GGGGCAGTCAATATATTAATTTTTGACTGTTACTTACCCAGTGAAAAACTTTAAGGATAACCATAAAAAATAGAAATAGAGAATATAACTTCTGAAACAGTCAAGGGAAAAATATGGAATAAGAAAACGACCAAAAAACATCTCAATCAAAAAACAAAACAAAACAAAACAAAAAAAAAAAAAAAAAGAGAAAGAAAAGAAAAGGTTTGGAAGGAGAAAATCAAAGCATAGAAAATGCAGGACAAATAGAAGTGGAAAAGAAAAAGGTAGAAGAAACAGGTCCAGAAATATCATTGATACACTAAATCACCATTAAAAGATGAAAACTAATGAACAACATCAAAAAATTCTAGTGACTGTAGTAGTACTGATCAGAATAGGCTCTAAGACAAGAAGCATTATTGTGAATCAACTTGTGATGATGAAAGGTTTAATTTACCAGAAAGACACAACTATAAACTTGTATATACCTAATCAAATAGTTTTATTTTATTTACATTTATTTATTTATTTATTTATTTATTTTGAGATGGGATCTTGTTCTGTTGCTCAGGCTGGAGTGCAGTGGCTTGATCTTGGCTCACTGCAGCCTCTACCTCTTGAGGCTCAAGCTATCTTCCTGCCTCAGCCTCCTGAGTAGCTGGGACCACAGGCACACACCACCAAGCCCTGCTAATTTTTGTACTTTTTGTAGAGATAGGGTTTCACCATGTTACCAGGCTGGTCTCAAAATCCTGGGCTCAAGTGATCCTCCCACCTAGCTTCCCAAATTGTTGGGATTATAGGAGTGAGCCACGGTGCCTGGCCTCAAATAACTATTTAAATGAAACAGAACTAGTATGGTACTAATGAAAAATGTATAAATCCATAATTGCAGAGGGATTTCAACTTACTTCTTTCGATTATGTAAAGGTCAAACAGACAAAACACAATGAAAAAACTTAATGCAATGAAGAAGTTTGATTTAATGAACATATATTGGATATGTGCCCAAGAATTAGAGAATATATACTAGTTTTAAGTTTATGCAGAACATTTACAAAAATTTAGCGGAGGCCTAAATTATAAAAAGTTGCTATCATGCAGAATGACACACAAACTGCTGAGTCCGGAATTCAAAGCCCTCCACACTCTCTACCTTTGCATCTTTATCCTCCACCACACTGCAGTGCATACTCTGGGCTACTACTCACCGTTCTTGATTCAAATTCCATGTTCTGTCAGCTCAAATCATTCTCTCTGCCTGGAATAACTACTTCATACATCTTCTGCTATTGAATTCCTGTCTCAGCACTCCATCTACTCCAAGACAATGTCCAGTTGGAGTTACTCCCATTTTCTTTGATTACGCTTTTTGTTTTTCCTACTTCCATTATATTATTGATCACATCTGTGCCACAGTTTTTGACTTCGTCTCTGCCTTTCCTCTTTTCTAGACCCTGAGAGCTCCTGAAGGGTTGGGTCATTTCTTTTTTATTTGCTCGTTCCTCATGGCACAGTGAGCGCTTAATAAATGACTATTGACTGAAAGTAAACTGTATTTAAATGGACATATTCCACCTCTGGGCCATTCATTCTTTCTTTCTAGTGGAACCAGGAGATCATGAACCGTAACAAAAGTAGGGTTGTGCAATGTGAAGGACCATGGAACCTTCCCCTGGGGGCTGAAAAACAGCAGGGAAAGGTGCAAAGACAAAGTCTTCCATTTTTAAACAATGTAAGAATGTGGTCCCCCTCATGCTCAGGTGGGACTTTATCATGACGTTATTTCTGGGGACTTATAGCTGCATCATTTACCCAAATACAGATTTACCTTCAGTGTAGGGAACTGAGGACAGGAATTTTGTTGATGTAGACTCTTGATAATGAGGCTAACACTTGGAGAATTTTTCTCACGCATAGAAGAATCTCGTTTTACATTCCTTCATTAATACTTTAGTTGGTGGTTTAGCTTTAGTTATAGGCTTATCGGATATTTGGAGATACCTTCATAAACGATGGCTTTGGTTTTAGAAGAGTTATTCTGAAGCTACTATTTCTGGCAATAATCAAACAGCATGGCCATTTGTTTTGTAAGACCTTTCTGAGAATATGACGGTAAAATCTATGATGTGTGGAAAAATGCTTATTCTTCTGTCCTCTATAAATATGAATCTAGTTTGTCTTCAAAATAAAATCGAGTGATTAAAATGTAGTTTTCTAAGAAGATAAATGGAGCAAAGCACTCTCTGTTTCATAATGTTGGAAATCACTCATCCCTCATGAAACTGTCCCAACTGATCCTGACTCACAGGAATGAATTAAAATAAGAGTTAATAATATCAGACTGGGCGCGGTGGCTCATGCCTGTAATCCCAGCACTCTGGGAGGCCGAGGTGGGCGAATCACAAGGTCAGGAGACCGAAACCAACCTGGCTAACATGTGAAACTCCGTCTCTACTAAAAATACAAAAAATTAGCCGAGCATGGTGGCAGGTCCCAGCTACGCTGGAGGCTGAGGCAGAAGAATGGCGTGAACCCAGGAGGTGGAGGTTGCAGTGAGCCAAAATCGCACCACTGCACTCCAGCCTGGGTGACAGAGTGAGACTCTGTCTCAAAAAAAAAAAAAAAAAAAAAAGTTAATAATATCAATTTACAGTTTTAAAGAAACTTTCCCATGTTTTAGACTATTGGTTGGAAAAGCTGGTAGGTGTACAATTTGTGGAGAGTAGGCTGTTGTCTATAGTAGTTTGACCTATTTCAAGGCCATATCTAATTTTGTTGCAAAATGGTCTGAATTCTACAAAAATATTGAGTTGTATAGTGTGGAGAAGTACTGAGCCATTTACTGAAAGGGATATGCCCAAGAAATAATTTGAACTTACTTAGAGATGCATACTACTGACATCTACTCCAGGCTTAACTATTAGCTCAGGTATAGAGAGGAGGGGAGGAGAGGAGTTAGGACTTTCAGAGTCATTGCCAAGCCGGACACAATCTGGTTGACTTACAACATAGGAGAGACTGGGCCAGTGAACCTCAAGGAAGAGGGCTGTGCATTTGATTCTACTATGCAGTGCTTATCCTACTATGATAAGCTTTGGAAATATAAAGTTGAGTAAGACATGGTCTCTGATCTCAAGAAGTGCACAGTACTTTTAGGGAAGACAGAAGAAAATACTTGATAATGATGATAATGTTACCAATGCCTGATGGAGGTATGTGCATGGCACCAAGAAGAGGGCCAAGTGATTGAGTCTGGGAGCGCTGGGAAACACTTTGTTTTTCTTTTTTAGAGATGAGGTTTCACTATGTTTACTGGGCTGATCTCAAACTCCTGGCCTTAAGCTATCCTCCAACCTCGGCCTTCCAAAGCGTACAGGCATTAGCCGCTGTGCCTGGCCAAGGGGAGCACATTTCTGGGAAGCTACTACTTGCATTGAATCTTGAAGGAAGAGTGGTAGACAAGGGGAGATGGGGAATGTCAGGCAGAAGCCCTTCAGGCAGGGTCTCTGCAGGAAGGTGATGAGAGATCAGGCTGGGAAAGCAGGAAAGGACCAGATTAGGAAGGACCTTGGGTAGTAGTTGCCTACTAGTAGGGAAATTTGAGTGACAAAATCAGATCTGCATTTTAGCAAGTTCATGTTTTGCATTGTGGTAGAGAAAGGACTGGAGTTGTCTAGGCTCAAGGCAGGGAGACAGGGAGGCTGGGGGGAAATGATGAGGCCCTGAGATAAGGTAGCAGTGGTGGGAACAGAGTGGAAGGGAGGTAGTTGAGATACGTTCAAAGTAGAATCAGAATGGACATAGTGACCAACTGGATGCACGTGGGGGCTGAGGAAGCAAAGTTGAGGATAATTCTGAGACTTTTAGGTTGATCCACTGAAGTTACATTATTCAACACCACAAGGAAACCAGGGGAATGAGAAGCTATATTGGTTTGCTTTGGAATGGAAGGGCAGTGATGTAAGAGGAGTTAATGAATTAAAGTTTGGATATGCCTGAACTTTAATTTGATATACTCTTGGGATGACCCTCCAGGCAGTGGCTGAACATGTGGATTTCTTAGTAACTGATAGACATCACAGACTCACATCAGTAGGGAAATAATAGCAAACTTGATTGGACGATATACCTGGAACATGCTACCCTACGACTGGAGCAAGTCTCTGTCAGTGAAATGAGGATAATGAGAACCTCAACCTTATGGAATATGTTGTTAGGAATATAAGTGATAAACAACATAGGATGCTTCCTACAGGGCTTCACATGTAGTAAGGACTTGATAAATGCTTGATAAATATTATTGTTGTAATTTATTTCCAAAGTAAGATGCCACTGGAGGAATCTTTGGAATCCAAATTAAAAATAAATAGGGCTGGATGCAGTGGCTCACACCTGTAATCCCAACACTTTGGAAGGCCAAGGCAGGAGGATCTCTTGAGCCCAGGAATTCAAGACCAGTCTGGGTGATATAGGGAGACCTTGTCTCTATGAAAAATTAAAAAAAAAATTAACCAGGCCGGGCGTGGTGGCTCAAGCCTGTAATCCCAGCCCTTTGGGAGGCCGAGACAGGTGGATCACTAGGTCAGGAGATCGAGACCATCCTGGCTAACACAGTGAAACCCCGTCTCTACTAAAAAATACAAAAAACTAGCCGGGCGAGGTGGCGGGCGCCTGTAGTCCCAGCTACTCGGGAGGCTGAGGGAGGCGGAGCTTGCAGTGAGCTGAGATGGGGCCACTGCACTCCAGCCTGGGCGACAGAGCCAGACTCCGTCTCAAACAAACAAACAAACAAACAAACAAAAAAATTAACCAGATGTGGTGGTGTGCACCTATAGTCCCTGCTGCTTGAGAGGCTGAGGTGGGAGGATTTCTTGAGCTTATGAGGTTGAGGCTGCAGTAAGTCATAATTGTGCCACCACACTCCATCCTGGATGACAGAGTGAGACCCTATCTCAAATAAATAAATAAATAAATAAATAAATAAATGCAAACCAGCAAACACTAATCCTTTCTAGGGATTATTGAACTCTGGAGGGCAGATCCGAATGGAGCCAGCAGAGATGGCTGAGGACCCAATGGAGACCAGCCTGGCCCTGGACAGCACCAGGCAACATCAAAGAAGAGGAGGTAATGGAATTGAACAGGGTTTAAGCCATGCGGTCTTAAGAACCCATGAAGACTCAGACTAATTTTTTTTTTTTTTGCATGAGGATTAAGGTGGTTCTAGGAATTTCAATGAGAGCAGGGTTAATGAAGGAGTGCAGAGTGGGAGAGCGGAGGGAAGGCATCTGAGAGAGCCTGGCTTATGAACGGCTGCGTCGGCATGGCTCACCTGCCTTCCCTTGTCATTTCCTACTCAGCAAATGACCCTACTCCAGGCCTCCAGGGCCAAGGTCATTTCTGCATAGTCATGGGCCCCTGAGGGCCTGGAGCAGTGTAAGGAAGACAGAGTCTTAAGAAATTACATTAACAGTCATGGTGCTTGGCAAGTATTGTCATCCTATGCCAAGCCTGATCTGAAGGGGTGCATGCTCATAGGTAGCGGCTGCCCAAGATTATAGCAGCTTCTTCAATTCCCAGATCCATGCTCTCCTATATTTGTTTTTTCCAGGGGTTCCTGTCCTTTGACAGTGATGAGATGCAGAATGACTTATTGAGTTATTCTCCTGATAGTTTCCAACTTTTCTAAATGACAATGGGGCATGGAGCTTGAGAGTGGAAATGAGGCCCTAGGGATAGCGTGCTTAGGAAAACACTCCCAGCGTGATGTAATTCTGGGGGTACAGTGGCATTTTCATCATCAAGACTGCTATGTAAAGGATGACTAGCAGTGAGTTGGGGGTGACTCGCACTGAGGCTGGGTTTCTGATTCTGCCTAATCCAGGCAGAGCAGAAGCACTAGTGGGCTGGTAGGGGGCCTCCGGGGCCTCACTTACGTGGAAAAACAGCTCCAGATTATTGGTTGACATTCTGAGGACAAGCTTGGGGACTACAGGATAGAGAGAGTGCCGGGAGATGCCGTGGCACCCATTCCGATGCCTGCCCTGCCATTCCCCCGGGTGACGTCTCTGGGGCATCTTGCCTTCCCTACCCAGACCTGTAGTTCAGCTGAGGGCATGTGGAGGCCAAATGGCTTCCTAGAGTGTTACTTTCCTTGAACAGCTCTGCTGGGAGAACTGGAGGAGCTAGCTAGTCACGGTAACTGCAGCAGTCAAAGGATCGTCCAGGTGGAGGTGGGGTGGAAAGGTAGAGAAAGAGAACATATAGCATTTTCCTTGGAGATGTGTGGGCATGTCTTAGAGGAAATGCCCAAGTCTTGAGCCTTGAGCCCCCCAGGAAATCTTGGAATATTAGGCTAGTCATCCCCAAGGAAATGATCCTATGTGATATTAAGGAACACCGGCCAGTAACCCTCCAAGCAATGGATATGGTGGCCAAGTTTGACCTCATGATGGAGAGGAGGAGGTTGGTTTGAAACCTAAGAATTTAATTTGTTGTTTCAAACTCTTCTCCACTCAGCATTATTAAAGCATACATAATTGACACATAAAAATCGTATATGTCTACGGTATACAATGTGATGTTTCAATCTATGTGTACATTGTGAAATGATTATGTCAAGCTAAATAACATACCCATTCATAGTGTTTCAAAGGAATTAAATTCAGGTACAAAAGAGAGGTGCTGTTGAAGAGTAGGATGGCTCTATCTAAGTAGTATGTCTGGGGGTGTCCTAGATCAGGGACCTTTTGTGCTAGTAATAAATCTGCCCTTCTGAGGCGGCTCCACTTTCCCCACTCTTTCTTTTGGGGCCTCCCGAAGAATTAGGACACAGCCACTTTCTCTGAATAGGCTTCCTACTTCAACAAGGACAGGGGCTTGTGCCGCCCATGCCACTTCAGTGTCCCTACAGCACAGCGCTGAGTGCACACTGGCTGAGTGAGGAAATCCCCTTGGATTAATCTTGGTTCTAAGCATCATGGCTGTATTTCACATGTATATGAATTACAGCATAGTTGAATAAGGATTTTTGTGCTACAACTGGAATCCCAGAGTATGCAAATTGGATAGTATAATATGGAAATTCCTAGGACATTTTATTAGTTTTAAAAAATTATACAAGCTTAGAGTAAGAAATTAAACAGTGCAAAAAAGTTCACTGTGAAAAGTAAAATGCTCTGTCTCTGCTGAGAGAGATATTGCAGCCCAGATACTACTACCATCAATAGTTTTCTTCAAGCATACCATTTTGGTGGTTTATGGGACTTACAGCTCAGGAAGCTTGACACCAGGGTTGATCTCAGAAAATCATTGTGGCAGATATTAGGTATGACCGTCTCACAAAGATACAGACACAGACACAGCGACTGGAGGTGTTCACTGGGGCTCATAGGCTGCTTGTCCTTTCTGCTCTGTGCCCAAGTTGGGCTCAGAGTAGCCTGTCATCAGCTGTTGGGAGAATGCTGGCATGGGGTTAGCAGGAGCCCACTTAACATGTCCTAAGCCACCTGGAAGGGTCCTTCAAGGAGACCAGACCCCAGAGGCCCTGAGGAAGGAAGGACTTTTGCCAGTTTTTAGGTTTTCTAGTCCCAGAGTTTTGGGAAGGAATGGTTTGGCTTTGGACCGTGTGCCCCTTTACAGAGTGGGATGGGGTGTACCCACAAGCCATTGAACTGGCTCTTGGAGAAGAGAGCAAAAGCGGGAATAAGAGGTCAGGAAGCTGTGTGGTTATAGGAAATCCCAGCAGAGGGCGTGGGGGTCAAAAGTGGTCATGGTAGTGACGGTGGAGGCCGAGGTGGTAGAAAATCAGAGGACTACAAATCCTATGGACTGCTGGTGACCTGACCAGGCTCCTACGCTCTCCGGGTTCATTTTAGGCTCTATAGCAGCAGATGATTGGCTGGTGTGAGAGCAGTGCACCTGCCATATCAGGCAATCCAAGGCGAGTCCAAGCTATGCTGGGAGGAAACCTGAAGGCAGCAGCAGGTAGACTAGCTGAAGGCAGACAGGGAGGCAGCTTGTCAATCAGATTTGTGTTTTTGAGGACTCTCAACTGGGGAGCCCTCTATGACAGATCAGATGAGAGAGGAATCTGGGGCTGCCCATGTGTCAGGCTACCAGAGGGTCCCATCAGTGCTTGGATCTTCTTTGCAGCTGGGTCTGAGGTGTGCAGGTAGAGGGTGAGCTGGTCAGAGGGGCCTATTGCAGAGCTAACCAACACCTTCCCAGGAATGCAAGCACAAGCACCCCACCGCAGGCAGGCGGGCAGGCACTTCTCCTTTTGCCACCAGGACCTCACAGACGCTGACCTGGCTCTGTGAGGTGAGAAAATGGGTTGTACTTAGTACATAGAGATAAAAGGCTTAGGAGGCCCCTCTATCCTGTGACCCTGTCCCCAGACCACAGGTGCCGGCAGGTGCTGCTGTTTCAAGGCTAGGCCTTAGTGCAAGCTTGTGGTTTCTTGCCCATCTGTGATGTCCTCCATCTAATGAAGGGGCTCTCCATTCTCTCTCTGCCTCTAACAAGTGGAGGCTCTGGGCCCTGGGCAAGACACACAGGGGGAAAATGCTGTCTGTTATCCAAATATATTTTATTGGGACGGGGAAGGGATCTTTATGTCATTTGACCCCCTTCCCCATTTACTGGCCTTGTACCCATAGCTGGACATGCCATGGTGATGGGGAGGCTGAGGGGGCAGATTCAGGAGAGAGCCCTGCTAAGGGGGCCCAAACAACCAGGCTGACCAGAGCAATGCCCAGCCTTGACTCATAGCCCATGTGTTATATCCTGGGTGTGTTGAATCATCTCTGTTTAATCTTATAAAAAAAAAAAAAAACCCGAAAAACCCCTTTCCTATGACAGAAGGAGCCCTGGGTTTGTTATTTTCAGTTTATGCAAAGTGGATAAGGGGGTGAGGAGTTCATGTTGACTGTCCAGGAGGAAGAACCGAGGCAGACACCAGAGCTGGGGCTCGTTCCCACAGTTGAGGGTATAGCACCCTAGTCTTTAGGCAGAGAGTGCTTCCCATCATGGCCTGGGCCCCAGCTCCCCTCACATGCTCAGTGCTGCTGGGGAGGCTTGGGAAGGGGCGTGGAGGCGTACCGTCCGATCTCGGGGAGCTTGTGTCCTGTTGAGAGAGAGGACATGCACACATCCGCCTTCACACCAAGAACTTCCAAACATGGCTGCTTAACAGACTCCAGGGATATTTCAAGTGAGAAGTGCAGGAATATGGAAGCAGGGACTCAAGCAGGAGCCACGGATGTCGGGGTGTCCATGAAGGGGTAGCCCTGACTAAAGGAAGATTTAGGGAAAAGCACGCTCTTTGTATCCAAAATAAAGCCAGCGCCGGTTGTTTCTTGTGTTATTACTGGAGAAAAGGTCAGGGCTGGACTCTCGGGCTCCCCACGTGTGAGATTCTGGGGACTGAAGCCTTTGCCTCCAATAGTCTCTTGGGGTCGGAGGTCGTTTTGTTCTTGTTTCCTCATTTAAGCTGCAATGGTAACAGACTGACACACAGGAAATCGTAAGTCAGGAGGGCCACTGCCACGCAGGAAGGACCCACCTGAACTGCTACAAACGGCGAGTTGGAAATCATTTACTTAATCATGACTTAAACGGCCAGACAGGAAGGTTCTTTTATCCAAGGAAAGATGAAGGCTTATGGGTTCTCTCTCTCTCTCTGTCTCTCTGTGTGTGTGTGTGTGTGTTGCCAAAATAGAAGTTTCAGCAATCAAAACATACACAATAAATATTTTATTGGTTTGATTCATTTAGATGTTTCTGGGGCTGGTTTTGAACATTAGGAAATGGAATCCTTTGATCATTTGAATTTACCAAAAATGTGGATATTTCTAAAGTAGCAGAAATAAAGGATTTCAGTATTGGAAGGGGCCTCAGTTGCTCCCTCTATACAGATGAGTAAGGGCATCAAGACAGATGGCGTGACTTCAGCCAGGCACGGAGGGAAGCTGGGTCTGACTCATCATCACCCACAACTGGTCTCTGCATTGCGTAATGCTTTACTACTGACAAAGTCTTTCGCATGCCTTATCTCATTTGATCCGTACTGTGGATAACTAGTCCTTGATTCCGCCTCAAAACATCACAAGCATCCTGTTGTATTCAGATGAGCCTGGCCTTTCCCTTCACCCATGTCCAACATGTGAATGTGCTGCATCATGCACATTACAGGCCTCCCTGGACCGTTACTAGTGAAGTGAGGCAGACAATAGCAGCTACTGTGGATCACACGTCTTCTGTGTGACAAGGACACTGTCAGCCATTTCATATTTATTATTTTATTTTCTCCTTACGGCATCACTAAGTACTGGTGATTATTATCCTTCCTTCTTTGCAGGGGCATAAACCAGGCTTAGAGAAGTTAAGTAACTTGCCCAGGTACCTGCAAACAGGAAGGACAGCAAGTTCTCACTGAATGTCACCAATAGGTTTTTGGAGACTGACTTCCAAAAGTGAAACAATGTGCAGCAGATCCTGGAATAATGTCATTTTGTTCAATGTTATTCATTTTCTTATATGTCATTTTTTAAAAAATTGTGGTTTCCAAGAACCTATCGATGACATTAATAGGCTCTTAGACGCCAGTGCTATTTCCAAGTCAGAGGTGCAAGAATGTGAAGCGGAGACTTGATAAGGGACTGTGGGTGTTGGAGCATCATCCATGTATTTAATCCAATATATTCAAAATGTTATCATTTGAACGCACAGTCAATATAAAAGTTGTTAATGAGATATTTTACATTTTTTATTACGTGCCACTTCTTTGAAATTTGGTATGTGTTTTACACTTTACACTTCAATTCTGACAAGCCAGTTTCAAGTGCTCCATAGCCACATGTGGCAAGTGGTCACCATACAGGGCAGTGCCACTCTAGAACAAAAGAAAGGGGAAAACATTTCTGGGAGGATGGTTGTTGGGAGTTGATGCCATGGTTAGCTCTTTAGGAGCTGAAATTAATCCTGGCATGGAATATTGAAAATATCAGCAAGAAATTAAATGACATAGTAGTCATTATGCCTAAATTATTGTTATTTTTTGATTGAAAAAAGTTAAATGTTTTAACTATCAAGGTAGTAGTGAGATATAATAAAGAGAGAGTCAGTTCTAAGTATAGAATTGCTGGATTCAGTTAAAGCTCTGTTCTCCAACATTTGGGCCCCACTGGAGAGGCCATTTAACTGCTCTCAGCCTCAGTTTCCTCCTTTGCCAAATGTGGATTACACTACCTGCCTCACAGAGATGTAAACTTATGAAATGATACTGTGATCGCCAGGGCCCACCTGTTTTCTTTTAAACATTGAAATCACTGTGCCTGAAACAGGGGTTTCCCTGCCCTTTGTGCAAGCTCCAGAAACAGGAGTCAGCCTGAGTCCCACAGCTAAGAACGTGAATTCTGGTCATTTTCTCATAGCGAACACATTTCACAGGTCCTTCAAGGGAGCACATTTTCCTATAACTCACCTTAATCTCGGTTGAAGCCTCGTTTCTTGTTTTGCGTTGTGGCCGAAAACTTAATCTCATTTCTTTCAGGTAAACTTCAGCAATTCAACAATAGTGCAGTCATTTTGTTTCAACTGAACCGAGTCAGGGTTCCACTCCTGCCTCCCCTTTCTTCTTTGAGGACATCCAGGAAGTGGAGGGGTCTATGTAGCCTGGAGCTGTTGGTGAGGGGCGATGGGTCTGTGGTGGTCTTGGGGAACTGCAGAGCTGTGTCTGGCCGGTCTGGTGTCTGGTGATTGGCCTTGCTCCCCGTAGTTCACACTGCAGGACCTTTCGTGTCCTTCTTGTCCTGATGATCAGCTTTTAGGCTCACGGGCCTCTCTCTGCTGAGATACGGAATAGGACAGCCTCTGGATCTTCTTATAAACTCTCCTGGGGTCACAGGGGACTCTGTGTGTGTCTGTGCCCCCATAGGATGATTCTGCCCAGACCTTTGCTGCCACTTCTTGCTGTTCTGCTGTTTTTAGTCTCTGGAGGGCTTGCAGTTTCCTTGGGGTCCCTGTGGAAGCAAAACAAAGTCCTCTTCATCCTCAGATGTCTAAATATTTCTGGGTTTTACCATCCACCCATCCCAGAGCTCAGTCTAGAGAAGGGGGCAGCCTTCGGGCTCTCTCCTTCCTCTCCTCCCAGAGCCTTTTCCTTTTCACCAGGGCAGCCTCTTCCTATCTGTTGGAAAAGGCTGTCTGGTTCTTGAACATAGAGTTGCAGCTTTGAGGGGTGTAGGCTGAGGTAAGGCAAACTGTCACATAGAATAAAAATTACCCCGCGTCAAGGAACAACCAGAGCTGGACAGTTTTTAAACGTGAAAACCAATTTTATTCAGGACTGTGGTGAGAGGTGAAGTGAGACCTCAGCATAGAACTGGGCTCAATTCCGAATGCAGCATGGGTAAATGGGAATGTAGAGCCTAGGACAGGATGGGAACCTGTGGATGAAGAATTACTAAAAGGGCATATCGGGGTGAGGGGGCATCCTGGGTGAACTCTCTAACGACTCTTGCTGAAGAAAGGCCTGGTGATCAGACATCACTGGGGACTGGTGGGGGATGAAGAATCCAATCAGATGGATATTGAGGGTAAGGGGATCTTGATAAACTGGCTTAGGAGGGTTTTTGCTAAAACTGGTTTTTGTAGGTAAGTCCACAGATAGGGTTCGGAGAAAGTTCAGGGACCTAAGGTTTGGTCAGGCAGAGGCTTTGTCATCTGTCATGCTGGCACTGTCACCGGCTTTCCTTTAGTCCCCAACCTTTTTTTTTCTGGAGTAGTTTTGGGAGACCAGATGAGCAGGGAGTTAGGGAGAGTAGTCAGAAAGGGCCAGAGAAAATAAGAAGGTGTGTGTAGGAAAATCCTTAAATCCTCTAATTAAATTAAATTTATTTATTTATTTGGGACAAGGTCTCACTCTGTTGCCCAGGCTGAAGTGCAGTGGTGTGATCTCGGCTCACTGCAGCCTCGACGTCAGGGCTCAAGCAATCTTGCCTTCGCAGCCTCCTGAGTAGCTGGGACTTACAGGTGTGCACTACCATGCCCGGCTGATTTCTGGGATTTTTTTTTTTTTTTTTTTGTTTGTAGAGATGAGGTTTCACCCTTTTGCCCAGGCTTGGACTCGAACTCCTAAGTGATCCATCCACGTCGGCCTCCCAAAGTGCTGGGATTACAGGCGTGAGCCACCGTGCCCGGCCTAAATTCGCCAATTTTTCAATGCTTCCATTCTCCCTGTTCCAGATTTGGGATATTGACTGCTGTTAAATCAGCTATTTCTCCCTGTGGAGGGGTAGCCTATATAGGAAGCAACAAGAGTGAGGAGTCCTTTATATTGAAATAGAGGGTAAGAGAAGAGACAGATGTTATCTTGGCTGTAGTGTGAGTTAAGAACAGCAAGTCTGTAAGCAAAGCAAAGCAAGGCTCCCGGGGCTGAGAAACAATGGCTTTCTGGGGGAAGTGTCTGTGTTCAGAACCTTAAGTTGGGAACATCTCTGAAGATGTTTGCCATGAAGGTTTTCTTCTGAAGTTCAGCCTTTCATCACTAGGTAGGCCTGTTTTGGAGTCTCTATCAAACAGATCCTGTGTTTATTAGAAAGCCGTGGTTCATAAAGCCCCATGCTAATTGCAGGTAGCGGGGTGGCCCTGGCCTGACCCGGGGACAGAGTGGCGGTCCTCCCTCCAGGCAGGAGACTCTCTCTTGCCACCTAGTGGCTGTATACCCACATTTCAAGGGAGCTTCTGGCTGGTGAGTTTAGAGTTAAGCAAAACAAAACTAAACTGAATAAAGAAATAGAAAGAAAATCAAGTGTTATAAAAGCAATTTGGCATTTGTTTGTGTTTCAGCTCCGTGTCGATTTATGGCTTCCACAAATAGTGCTGATATGCACCAGGCACTGTTGTAAAACTGAAAACATGTTTTTGGATGTGCCCAGTCTGTGAGTATTAAACAACAGCTGATTTGAAATTTGCTATGATTCACATTTCCGGGGGTAAGATGCAGGATTTCTTTGGGGGGCCTAGGATGTGGCATTCTAGAATTCTCAAAGAATCAACCCTGGTGGGACCAGGAAGAGCGGAGCTGAGGCCTCTCTGCTCATGTGTACTTACTGGAGATCATTGAGACAGGTGAGCCTGAGTGCACGTTTCACCAAAGCCGCAGCAGAGAGGGAGGAGGCGGAAGGAGAGCTCTCTCCATTTCTGAGAAGTTAATGGTAAAAATGGCATACATATCTACTTTACAATTGAAATTGGAAACCACAGCATTAAGTGTTTCCAATGAAATTGGGCAATTTTGGAGTTTTCTGAGCTGCATTGGATGTGGTTTTGCATGCTGTCAGGATGAGCAAGAGGTGATGGAGAACATCTTCCTTTTGAGCTTCCTCTTGGATGTGGGTCACCCCCACTCACGGAATTAGAAAGCTTAGACCTAGACTTGAATCTCACCTTCGTAAGGTGCTCCCGGGCAAATCACTTAAGATCCATCTTCTTCTCCTCCTGCTCCTTCTCCTCCTTCTGAGTTTTTTTTTCTTTCCAAAATTCAAACGACACAGTACTTGGAGAAGAAAAGGTCCAAGTCTGCTTTTACAGTTCCCCTCATCCCCAAATGTACTCTGACCCCAAGGTGACCATGTTATCATTTGATTGGCATCCTTCTAGTTTCAACTCATTTCTTTGCATGTATATGTACGTACATATACACTATTTTATTTTGCCAGGGGTCACTGTTAGCTGCATTAATTTCTTTTAATATAATCTTTATTTAGGTATAGTTTACATTTAACAACATACTTATTTAAGTGCACGGCTTGATAAGTCTTCACTGTAAACCAAAAATAAAATTCTAAGCCCCCCTAACCATCTGAATGGACCCCTCCTCTTGGCCAATGGCATTCCAAAGTTAACCTGAAAAGACTAGTTTAGGCCATGATGGAAGGGAAGGTTGGACATGCCCCAGTATATCCTTCTCCCTTTTGGAATTCAGGAAAAGCTGACCGGCATTAACATTAACAGAAACCTTATGTCTGATGGGAAACTTTGACAATCTATTCTGTCTGAAGCTTGCTACCTGGAGGCTTCATCTATGAGATAAAACCTTGGTCTCCATAACCACTTATCACAACCCAGACGTTCCTTTCTATTGATAATAATCTACCTGTAACCTGGAAGCTCCCTGCTTCAAGTTCCCCCACCTTTCCAGATTGAACCAATGTAAACCTTACATGTATTGATTGATGTATTATGTCTCCCTAAAATGTATAAAAGCAAGCTGTACGTCGACCACCTTGGGCACAGGTTGTCAGGACCTCCTGAGGCTGGGTCACGGGTGCATCCTTAACCTTGGCAAAATAAACTCTCTAGATTGACTGAGGGCTGTCTCAGACACTGTTGGGTTCACATATATAACTTATGAAACTAATACACAAATCAAGTCATAGAATATTTCCATCACCCCTCATCTACCCCCAAATTTCCTTATGCCTCTTTGCAGTCAACCTCCCACCCCATGCCCAGGCAACCACAGATCTACTTTTTGCCTCTGCACCTTCAGTTGACCCTTTCTGCGGTTTCATATGAATGGAATCATGCACTGTACAGTCTTTTGTGTCCGGCTTCTTTTGCTCAGCATAACGTCTTTGAGCTTTGTCCATGTTTTTGTGTTTGTCAGTGGTTATTTTCTCTCCATCGCAGAGCAGTTTTCTATTGTATATGTGTACCACAATTTGTGTATCCATTCCATTGCTGATGGACGTTTGATTTGTTTCCAGATTTTGGCAACTATGAATACAGCTACCATGAACACCCAGGTACAAGTCTTTGTGTGGACTTATGTTTTCATTTCTCTTGGAATGGAATTGTCATATCAATAAGTGTATGTTTAACTTTGTGAGAAACTGCCAAAAAATTATCTGTGATGGTTACGCCATTTTGTTTTTCTAGCAGCAATACACGAGAATTTCAGTTGCTCCACAGCTTTGCTAAAACTTGTTTTCTTTAATTTGGACATTTAAGTGGTGTACAGAGGCATCTCATTGTGGTTCTAGTTTTCTTTGCCCTGATGACTAACGGTGTTGAACATCTTTTCATATGCTTTTTGACCATTTACATATCTTCTCTTGTGAAGTGTCTGTTCAAATATTCTTGCCCATTTAAAACATTTGGGGGTTTGTCTTAGTATTGTGTTGAGAGAGTTCCATATTATTTATTTATTTATTGAGATGGAGTCTCACTCTGTTGCCCAGGCTGGAGTGCAGTAGCGTGATCTTGGCTCACTGCAACCTCCACCTCCTGGGTTCAAGCAATTCTCCTGCAAAGCCTCCTGAGTAGCTGGGATTACAGGCGTGTGCCACCACACCCGGCTAATTTTTTGTATTTTTAGTAGAGATGGGGTTTCATCATGTTGGCTCGACTGGTCACAAATTCCTGACCTCAATCAATCCACCTGTCTCAGCCTCCCAAAGTGCTGGGATTACAGGTGTGAGCCACTGTGCCTGGTCCATATTTATTTTTTATTCTTTATTTTGTATAAAAGCTCTTGGTCAGATACAATAATACGTGGTCAGATGAGATAATGAGTGGGAAAATGCTTTGCAAATGGGGGAGAATAATTTAAATGTTGTTTATTCATTAAGAGCAGAGGCCCTTCCTGTTGTGGTCCAGAAGCCGTTTCCTTCTTCTGCCTTTTATAAACCAGCAGTGTCGAGCCACACAGGCTGTCTGTGTTGGCTGCTATTAGTTAATCAGAGAGTTTTTTTTTTTCTTGCCTTGTCATTCTAATTTGTGACACACAATTAGCCACAATATGTATTTTCAGTTGTGACACCGGCCTGGGAAACCAAGGGATGTTGTGAAGTGGATTTCCTTGATTTTGCAATAATTGTGTGTTTTGCTGCATCTTCTGTTAAACACAAATTCATGGAAGAAAAACATGGAAGCAAAAGTACCCTGGAAATCTCCCCTTCTTTATAAAATTGATTTCTCTTCAATGTAATGTTTGCTTGTTCCCTTACTTTAAAAGCAATTTAAGGTTTATCGAGAAAGTGAGCCCTGGAAACATAGATGCGTAGAGAGAAAATTCCACCATCCTCAGGTCCCCATTGTCTTCTCTCATAAAGCATAATTTCAGGGCCTTTTAGAAGTTTCTTTTTTGCTCTGATTTGCATGTTTGAGAGTGTTGTTATTTTAAGTATTTGGATTTGGTCTGCAAATCCTATGAAAGATGGCAACAGAGTAGGGATTTCAAAGCCTGCAGGATGTATTAAGTCCAGCAGGGCTGGTCCTTGTATTTACAACAGAGGGTCCTTGAAGACATTCCATACACTATACTAGGGGAGTGGCCAAGCAAACTTTAATGTGTCCCCATGGTGGGATATTTGGGGTTAATACCTGCCCTTCTCTTAATTTCTTTTTCTTTTTCTTTTCTTTTTTTTTTTTTTTTTGAGATGGAGTCTTGCTTTGTCACCTAGGCTGGATTGGAGTGCAGTGGTACTATCTCAGCTCACTATAACCTCCGCCTCCCGGGTTCAAGCAATTCTCCTGCTTCAGCCTCCCAAGTAGCTGGGACTATAGGCACACGCCACCATGCCTGGCTAATTTTTTGTATTTTAGTAGAAACAGGGTTTCACCATGTTGCCCAGGCTGGTCTCAAACTCCTGAGCTCAGGCAATCCACCCGCCTTAGCCTCCCAAAGTGCTAGGATTATAGGCGTGAGCCACTGCACCCAGCCCTCTTAATTTATTTATTTGATTTTTATTTTTCACTTCCACAGTCTGATAAAAAACGAGAATCTAATTATCTTAGTCCATTTTGTGCTTCTATAATAGAATATCTAAGACTGGGTAATTTATAATCAACAGAAATTTGTTTGGCTTAGAGTTCTGGAGGCTGGAAAGTCCAAGATCAAGGAGCTGCATCTGGTGAGGGCCTTCTTGCTGCATCATCCCATAGCAGAAGGTGGAAGGGCAAGAAAGCACGCAGAAGAGGGCTTAGGGGAGGGAGCAGAGGTCATCCTTTTATCGGGAACCTACTGTCGTGATAACAGTATTAATCCATTTATGAGGGCAGAACCCTCATAACCTAACCACATTTTAAAGGTCCTATCTCTCAACACTGTTGCATTGGGGATCAAGCTTCCAACACATCACATGAACTTTGGGGGACACATTTAAGCCATAACACAAGTGAATTTAATATGACAGCTAATTATTTCTAAGTAAGCATACCTAGCAAATTTTTGTTTGTTTTACATTTTTATGATTGCAGCCAGTGTCGGACTCTCTACTCCTAACTCCACATTCCTCCCAGGTTTGTTCTAATTCCATTTCTGTCTTGTCTTGTTTTCTGCCTACTCTTTTGTCTTGGAGCAGATGGCTTATCCCAGTTTATATGTAATAGAAGATCTGTACCAGCTGCCTTGATTCTACCTACTTAAAACCTTAGGGAGCCATCTGCTTCTCGCTGGGCCCTGCACCTGCCCCAGTGTTCAGGTGTTCCTCATTTTCCTTGGCTCCCAGCTTAGTCTCCTAACTGGTCTCCCAACCCAGCCCTTCTCTGCAAGGACCCCTCTTCCACATTGTCATGAATGGGAACATTACAAAAGGGAAAACTCAAAGGAATGCTGCCATGCCTAAGGACCCTGACCTCGAGGGACTATGTGACATCTGTGTCCAGAATGCTCTGTGACAGCTCCTCAGCCCCACCTCTAGTCCAACCTGGCACTGAGGCCCAGCCAGATGGAACCACTGTGTGTGCTCAGAACAGGCTGGCTTCTCCCTTACCCTTGGGTATTTTCTCTGCCTAACAAGTTCTCCTCGATCCCTCCCCTTTGCCGGCTTTCCCTATATGTGAATGTCACAGGAACAGAGCCATGGCGGATGGGTTCCCTGTCATGTCTCCAGTACCCAGCTTAGCACCTATTATGTACTAAATGAAGACCCTC